AACTATTATAGGGGCAATCAAAATATTTTATTTGATTTTAATTGTATTTTATTTTAGATTATTAACTCCCTTGAATGATTTATGGGAGTACTGCAAGGAAGTAGAATTGAAAATGAAGAGTTAGATTTATCCTTTCCTAAAAAGGGAAACAGAGATGGCTAATTATTAACTGCAATTGCCTAAGAAATACACTCTATACCTCTGGGAACAATGCTTTGTATAGGTTAATACAAATATTAACTTCAATTATTTTGATAAACCTCAGCCTATCTTCAGGACTTTTCATTTCCAAGCAAGCAAAATAATTTATGGTTGCAGCATCAGATTTGAGACCCGGGATATCAGATCAAATATTCAAAATATGAGTTTCATATCCTGTTCATCTGAAGCAGGGGTCCCCAACCACAGGCCGCAGCCCATTACTGGGCCTTGAGCCATTTGGAACTGGAATGCGGAGTTGGTGGATAAGCGAGTGCCTTCATGTGCGCATCCCCACTTGCGTGAGCAGTGGGAAGCACGTATGTGCACACTCCATTTGTGTGAGCTGCGGGCATATGTACAAGTGCGGGCATATGCGCCCACCACTCACACAGAATCATCCTTCCACCACCCCCTGCTGGTCCGTGGAGCTGGAAAAGTTGGGGAACTCTGATCTAAAGCAGTTCCACAAGTTTCCATTTCCCCTATCATACATCATTTCCTGGAACACTTTTTGAAGAACCTAGTATGCAGATAATGGAGAAATGGAATTCTTCAGAGATTTCTTCAGCTCCGAACTTATATCCCAAACTCATTAAAATGCAAATCAATTTATAACTTTTTTAAACTGTGTTTTTCTGGATTTTATTTTTGTTTTTATTCTGTCTCTCACTGTTAAAATAAACCTACCATTACAATTATAAATGGATCATTTCTTTGTCAGTAGGCAAATGTACAAAATCAGCAGGAGATCAAATAATTTTTCCCCTCACTATATAATGTAGGATGGATAACTCAAATGCAGGAATTCATCTTAATACGTTTTATGGATACCTACCACAAGGGCTATTAGTGCACCCAATTCACTTGTTTTTCATCATTTGTTATGTTAAATTTATTTGTCACCTATCTCACTATGGTGCTACTCTAGGCGGCTTACAAGAATAAAAAAAGAGAAATGAAAGAAGTGTAAACATAACAGTAATAAAATAATGAAACAGTAGAATAAACAATGAAAAAGAAAACAATGATGCAGCGACATGAGAATGAAAGGTAGATGGGTGGGGAAGCAGGGAGCAAGGGGGGAAGTGGAGTTTGCCATTGATCCAACAGCCACCTCCAGTGTGAAACTCCTCCATTGGGTCCACAAGCCAACTGGCAGAGCCAGGTCTTCAGGCTCTTACAGGATAGGAATGTGGAAGCAGATCTCACCTTGGAGGGTGGAATGTTCCAGAGGGTAGGAGCTGGGCAGGGAAGGCACTTCTTCTGGATCCCAACAGTCAGAGTTCTTTGACAAACAGGATCTGCAGTAGGCCCTCTCTGCCAGCACTTACATTTTGGTTATATTTTTGCCTATTAAAACAGCCACCCCACGATACAGAAACATGGAAATATGTGATGGGTTCCCTCTGATCCCACACTGTGATCACATCTCAAAGTTGATATATCATATTAATACTTACACTGACAAAGAGCAGCCTTGATTTTGTAGTCTATAGGATAGACAATATCATAGTGATTGCTATTTGAAAAACACAGCAATATCTAAAAAGTAACATAAGAATAGTTAAGATATAATAGCTAGCAAATTTACACAGACAAATTAAAGACTAGCACAGTACTTCCTGTTATCACTTCTGCAAAAACTTCACAATTCTTCAAGTTACATGAGTAGCAAGATCTATTACAGTAGGACTGTACCTTGTCGGGAAAGCCATTTTCGGTTACGTAAGAAGGAGTGTAGTTTGGTTCCTGATATATCTTACCTTGTCGGGAAAGCCATTTTCGGTTACATAAGAAGGAGTGTAGTTTGGTTCCTGATATATTATAAAATCTTTTCTAGAAAATTTATAAAGGGAAAAACCATCTATAAATACACAAGTTTCATTATGAAATGGATAATAAATACAAATAGCCTAGACTGATCTTGACAGAAAATGTGTATGAATCTTTGTTTAATAAATATATATAATTCAGGAAAAAATATCTTGTGAATTCTGCAATGGCAACACATAACTATTAACTGCAAAACTCAGGTCAAGCACCAGGAATTGGCAATGGCTATTAGATGGAATAGGACTGCTTAACAGAACCTGATATTCTGTTAATCTGCTTCTAATACTTCCATGTCTGTCTTAAAATTGTCAATTAAGAGCCACAGAAGATAAATACGGTTCTTTGGCTATTTAGCACAGTAATGCCCTTGCTAAGTTTATTCTGCAAACTTCCCCAAAAGACCGACTGAATGTGGTGATCAACCCTCAAGAAGCCATGAACAAGCCTAGCCGCACTAATCACACACAATACTCTATTTTCTGCCTTTACACAATGCTTGCTATGCCTCATGTTCCCTGATTTCTTCCTTAAACAGAATGTTATATACACCACTTTGGTTTTACTGTATACATGCATCTGTATTTCCTGGCAATGTTATTAGCTTATATATTTGAGCAGTCTAATAAAAATAATCAACTCTAGCAGCATTTGTACTGGGAAAAAGTTTGTTGATATGATTCTTCCCTTATTCCTATGTTCTGGCCTTGCTCCCCAACTTTCTGGTTGTGAGACCCTGTTTCTGAAGCTAGGATCAGTTGGAATTGGTGCTGTTGTACCACCTTCCCTGCTGTATAGTAGCCTCCCTGTCTAAACAGCTGAAGGCCACCTCAGAGCTGGCAGTGGAATTCCACAGGCTTATGATCCTGGAGACTTCAACCTGCCATTCCTGGGTTTGGCCTTAGAAGCGGCCCAAGTTCATGGCCACCGTGGGCCTATCCCAGATCATCTTGGGTCTGACTCGAGGCAGTGGTCACACACCAGATATGATCTTTTTGTCAGATCATTGGCAATGTGATCTGATGGGGGAATCTATCACTATTCCCTCCCTTTCATGGTGAGATCATGCCCTGGTGCCCTTGAGACTCTCTTATGCTGCCCACCTGGACCCATTTGAGCAGTATGTCCCCAGCAACTGATGGACCCAAATGAATTCCAGAGGGAACTGGTGGATATCCCTGGGGGTTTACTACAGAATCCTGCCAAAGCTCTGGTTATGTCCTGGAACCAAAGTCCGGCTGAGGCTTTGGACAAGATAGCCCCTAGGCACCCTCTCTTGACCCATTGCTTGACTCCCCCTGGGGTTCACACAGGAGTTATAGGTTCTGAAAAGAGCAAAGAGACACCTAGAGTGCTGCTGAAGGAAAAAATGGATGAATCCTCCTGGACATAGCTTAAGAGCTGCTATTAAGGCCTACCAGATGGCAATAAGAGTGGCAAAATACCATTATTTCTCTGCCCTTATCGCACCTACAGAGTATTATCCAGCGGCCCTGTTCAGGATCACCCAATCCCCCCTGGGACAGAAGAGCCCCTAAAGATAGTCTGAAGTGATCATTTTCAGGGCCATGCAGCAGAAATTATTGAAAACAGAGTCATTGGATTCACTTGGAACCCATGCATGGCGCAGGTCTATTTGAGATGCCTGGGGAAAGATCTTCGCCAGTTATTGGGGAAAAGCTTCATCCTGTTGGACCTGATGAAGGCGAAACAGTCTTCAATGCTGTCTGTGCAACTACCTGTCAGTTAAGATTCCTATTCCTTCTGTTTGGTGGAAGCCTCCAGGTCAGTATTTTCAACCTTGACAATTTTAAGGCATGTGGACTTCAACTCCCAGAATTCCACAGCCAGCAATGCTGGCTGTGGAATTCTGGGAGTTGAAGTCCACATGCCTTAAAATTGTCAAGGTTGAGAAATACTGCTCCAGGTGGATGACAGCCAGGTAGATCCAGGCAGTGATAAATTTTTCACTGCAGGAGGGGATATTTCTGGGGACCTTTTAAGGAGGCCTAATATATCTTGTCTGGACAATTTGATAGAGATGATAGAGAAGGTGGATGCCTGACAACTTTAGAGGGTCCTGAATGAAACAGATTATTCCACCACTATAAAATAAAATTGATCAATTTGTTTGTATTTTTCTAAAAACTGCCACATTTTAAAACATGCATTATATTGGTTGAGCATTATTCTTTTGAACCTTAAAGAAATGTTTCTTACTTGAACATAAGAGAAAGGGCACTTATTTCAACTTGTCCAACCCATTCCTGTAGTAAAAAAAAGATACTGTAAGTAAATAATCAGTAACATGTAAATAACCAGTGAAGTGCCCAAAGGATATTTAAGGACCTTTAAATCACTAGCAAGCAGCAATAGTTAGTTAAAACCTTGGTTTAAACTTTCTCAAATACAAATTATAGGAGTTATGACCCAAATTGTAATGTAACACATCTCGATGACACCAGGTTGGGAAAAGGTTACTTAATCAAGCATCAGTGGAAGTGCATTTATTACAACTAACCAATATTAAAATTTTAGTAATTCTACAGAAGTTTTCATGAATTTTTAATTAAAATCAATTCTCTCCATTTTTAGCATATGCTCCTTATTCTTTATGAAGTATGGCTGCTTGGTATACAAAATATCCTGCCCCAAAAGTCTTAATCCATAACCTTATAAACGTATTGAATCCTTCAGGTCCTGCATGCTTCGCTTACACAGGGAGAAATCTATCGTAACTAACTCTTATTTTTGGTCTCCTTTATAGCGAGGGCCCTTTCCAACAATACAACCAGAGAACAAAACAGACTGTCTCTTAGCAATTTAACCAGTGAAAATAGTCCCTGACTTCAAATTCCAAAGACTACTGTTATATGTGAAACAACAGTGAAAACTCCACAGTAAGCCTTAATGCAGCGGTTCTCAACCTATGGGTCGCAACCCCATTTGGGGTCGATCGACCATTTCACGGGGGTCGCCAAGCAAGGCTGTCCGCCATTTTTTTCCCCCTTTTCCGGCGGGTGCCTTTCCTCCCTTGAGCTGGGCCAGCTGGTGGTCGGCCTGCTCCGTCTCTGCCGCTTGCTAGCTACACCTCAGCCGGCGCAGGGGGCGGGACCACGCATGTGCGGCGCTCCCAGGCAGGGAAAGTCCTCGACTTACGACCGGTTGGGTAGTCCTCGACATACGACCGGTTTAGTCCTCGACTTACGACCGGTTTAGTCCTCGACTTACAACCGGTTGGGGGTCGCGGCATTAAAAAGGTTGAGAACCACTGCCTTAATGCATAATGCAAAATATTAAAAACAATGGCCTTGTCTTCACCTCCAATGATGCTGCATTTCAAATATGGGAAGGGTCAACTGCATTCTTATCCTTGCCCAATAAGCAGAAAGAACTCAGAAAAAGTCAAAAAAGAGAAAGAGGCAATATACAAAAATGCCAAAGCAGATATGCATTAAATACACCCCCTTGTAGCCTGGCACTGATTTATTAATTATATTAATATGAAAAACAATATTCCAGACAGAACAATAGCACATTTTGTTCTAGCATCTCTATTCTTCTGGTTTATCATCTTCTTTGAGGAGCCAACAAAAAATAATTTTAGCCATTACCGCAAGGAAAAAGCTCAACAGTAACTAAACTTCAATAATTCCAATTACCATGAAAACCAGAGCCAGATTAATAAGCTCCCTAAGTGAGTATCACAAGTGGACTACCATTCTTCCTATTTTAAATTTCAAGAAGCAGATAAAAACTTTCCTACAAGTTTTATTGCTGCCATCCCCAATTCTACCTGTAAAGCTGGGTGGAGAAGATATGGGTTGTTCGGTAGATTGCATAAACAAATTGAATAGTGTTTAATAGTGTTTAATAGTGTTTCTACAACAATACATATAAGGCCTGTGGTTCTATACTCAGTTCCCAAAGATCTCCTACAAGGTTTTGAGAATGGAGGCCATCCTCAGATCAGAAGAAAAGCTGTTCTATATGAGGGAACTGCCACCCAGAACACCCATTGGGCTCCTCTGTTCAACTCCTGGTAGACGGGGACTTAGTAAGTGCTCTCTGACCATCCAGGTTGGATAGATAAAAACTATATAGGAAATATGGTCTTGAAGATACCCAGGAATTATTATTTAAGAATTTTATCCTGATAATATATTGCTATACTAATTACCTTTATTTGTCTTATTATTTCTAACTTTCCAGCAAAAACAGTTTATTCACCCAGTCATTTTAAGTTCCTGACAAGAGAAAAGGTACGCCAAGACCCATTTTACTGCTTAAGGAACTATGTCACCAAAACATGGTTTGGTACATGGTTCCTTATGTTTTCATATGCACTATTTATTATTTTTGTGTACCATGTGAGGTTTGTCTTTCTTTTGCTTTATGCAAGCTAAAATAAACAAACGGCTGTAAACAAATCTCTATTTGCAGGAAATGTACATGTTCTCTGCAACTTCAAATGCCCCCCGACACTTGAAGCAGTGGGTACAGGTAGTCCTCAAAGTACAAGAATTCATTTAGTGACCATTTGAAGTTACAACTGTACTGTAAAAATTGATTTATGACCATTTTTTACACTGACCATTGCAGCATCCCCAAGGTCACATGATCAAAATTCAGACACTTGGCAACTGACTCATATTTATTAAGGCTGTAAGGTCCTGGGGTCATGTGATCACCTTCTGTGAACTTCTGACAAGCAAAGTCACTGGGGAACCAGATTCTCTTAACAACCGTGTTACTAATTAAACTGCAGTGATTCATTTAACAACTATGGCAAGAAAGATCATAAAATGGGACAAAACTCACAAAAAATGTCTCACTTAGCAACAGAAACATTGGGCTCAGTTGTGGTCGTAAATCAAGGACTCTCTGTAGTCACGCAGACATTTTACTTTTTTAATCATTCTTTGAAAAACCGTTACATGTAATATCGAAAGAAAGTTCATTTACTTTGCGAGATTCAGTCCTTAGGGGAATGAGATAAGCCAAATGTTATATACTGTATGTGGTTAATTTGATAGCACATACCTGTGGATTTTCCAGATGCTTCAGATGTTCCTCAAATGGCCCCTCTATAAACTGTAAAGCATCAAAATGAAGAAGCATTAATAGCACTGTGATGAAACAACCAGTTTTACTCCCAAGTAAAGATAACAAGGCTCACTTCTGTAAAAAGATTTGATCAACGATCCTTACTTCTAATCTTCAAATTGTGGAGACTTACTTGATTTACTCAGAAGTAATACTCCAGAAATTATATAGTTTCTGAGTAGCATCTAGGAATGCACCAGGTTGTATGTTAACTTCCTTTCCATTAATTGCAGGCTGTTAATTCAGTGGCAGACATTGGGACACTGTGGAAAAGCTCCAGATTGTTTACAAACTTAGTGACTTTCAGATGTAAATGGACTTCAAATCCCAGAATTCACTATGGCTAAGAATTCTATGAGATGCAGGTCGCATATCTAGAAGTTCTCAATGTTGATAATTGCTTTACTACCGAAATTTCAAAATTTTGAAATAATGCATGTATCTCAGATGCATCCAGTTCTCATTTTTCCCTATGCCAACCAAAGTGAATATCTTTATGATATTAACCACATTTCAAGAGATATATACCGTATAACTATATTGTTAGAACATAACGTTAGCCACTTGTACACCCAGAGCATTCTTAAAATCTAATGAATCCTAATGAGTCCCAGAAAGTATAAGCCTTCATAAAAGTAAACTAATGGTTGATGAAAGCCTTAATTACTCTGGTACTCACCAAATGCTTTGGGCTAGAATCTTCATATATCAAAACCAGCACTGCCACTAGGCATTCTAAGTGGGAATTGTGGAAGTTGAAATTAACCACATTTGGAAACTACAAAATTGAAGAGTCTTGGGATGATGCATATTAGCATGTAGGAAACAGTTTTACTGAACTACCTGATATTGATATGGCATGTATCACATTGAACTGGGTTTCATCTATGATAGTTAAGTAAACCATGGTTAAGTGACAAGTAGCTGAATTTACCCTACATACTAAGCCATAAAACATGGTTTAGGAACTACAGTATGCTAAACCCAAAAAAGCAAACCAAACCATGGATTTTTCATGGGTATGAAAGACAATGTCCAGGGTTAGTTTCTTCCCATAAAGGCAAACAAAAAGTTTGAACATCATCATATGGTAATAAACCTGGTTTATTTAGTACATTTATATATTGTCTTCTGTCCATTATAAATCACAACATTGGACACAAGGAACAATCAATAAGTGGTGTATTCAGGCACTACCCATAGATCCTCTTAGCTGAAATAAAATGACTGCTCATGGCTTGTCATAAGCAAATTGACCATGTTTTTTCTCATAATGGTAAAAAAGGAGATGTTTTTAAAAGGTTCAGAATGGCTTTAATAGTTATCCATAATATAATAATGTTTTTACCGCTTCAAATTTCTCTCTGTTTTTCCACAGATAGTTTATACAGGCCATCCTAACATCAAGATGCTGAATCTGCGAGTGGAAAACCTGAAAAAAAGTTATTAAAAAAAGGGTTCCAAGTTTATGTATATTTAGTTACAGATTTAAAATCCAAGAGATTAAAGTTGTTAATTAGAGCTAGAATTCAGCTTTAATTATATATGCAGATAAAGAAGTAGAGTAAATCCCAAATTTCAAAATAAGCTTTCAAAAAAATGATCTTTATTTAAAATAACATATCCAGACGAAACCATCAGTGCAATCTATATTTTGAAATGATTTTTTTTTAATTTCAATAATATTTAGTTGTTTTATTTATCTAGGAAATTAAAAAATAAAATGACCTCTTATCCTTCAGAACTGAGGCTGTCCATTCATCCACCATATAGGTTAGCAACAGTTATATATTTCCAGTAAAGCTAAGTAAAAGACCTAATTCAAAGAGACCATGAACCTGTCTCAAATCTGTTATCATTCTACGCAACCAGTCATAAAAATATCTAGACATACAGTATATATTAAATCAATTTAAAATTCTTTTCAGATAAAGATATGACAGAATTATTAAAACACAAAGTATATAGTAATGCAAAATTTCAAGAAACATTTGAAACTTTAAAGTCTCTAGTTCAAGGATCAGATGAAGGCACTTAAAAGCTACTTATTCTTTACAAAATAAAGAGCATGTTGATACATGTTTTGCCTGATTAATAATGAATCTATGAGCCAATATTGAGACAGATTGATATTTAATTGGTATTGTGTTTTCAAAGCTGCAGGACATTGTTTTATCATGCAAATCCCTACAAAAATTCCAGTGCCACAATAATGGACAGGTTTGTTTACTGTTACTTGTTTTGAATATCCTGTCTGATGAACAGTTTTGAAGATCTCCAATTTAGATACTCTTTAAGATCCTGAAAAAAACTTGTGGATTTTGATTTTTCTGACAGAGCAACACTTGTACTGATTAGATTTTATAACCATTTATACAGATAGTTCTCAATGTACGACTGACCAGAATTTCCACTGCTAAGTAAGATTGTTAAGCGAGTGTCAATTTTATGATCTTTTTTTGCTACAATAAAGTTAATCACTGCAGCTATTAAGTAAATCATGCAGTCATTAAGCAAATTGGGTTTCCCCCATGTTTTGCTTGTCAGAAGCTGGCTGGGAAGGTCGCAAATGGCAATTACATGACCTAGGAATGTTGCAACTTTCGTAAATACATAATGGTTACCAAGTGCCCAAATGATAATCACATGCTGTGGGGACATTATGATATTCTTAAGTCAAAGGACCGGTTGTGTTACTTTTTTCAATTCCACTCTAATTTCAAAAAGTTGCTAAATGAGTGGTTTGAGTTGAGGACTACCTATATACAACTGCTGCTCAAATCCCTGACATGCACTATTTTACATCATTTGGAATGCAGCTATTTCCAAAGAATTAGCTATATTGGCCTATTATACCAAAATTAGAATCTGTGGCATCAAGGAGCTGGCTGTGTTCACAAAGTCTTCATCCTGTTAATTGAACCATGGTTATTCAATCCAATTTTTCTAGATTCTCAAAATACATTGAACCATAAACTAGTGACACCAGTTAAATTTAGCATAATCTGATTGGTTAGATTGTGGTTTACTGTTGGGTTAACATGGAAACAATGTTTCTCCTTTAGAAACATTTCTTTTATTGACATTTGAAGAGGAACCAAAACTAGCTGACCAAATCTATTGCAGAGACAGGCAATATTCTCTTATTTAAGACTACAGCTTCCATAATTTCTGTTCACTGACTGTGTGCTGGGTTTAGAGTTGGAATTCAAAGCAACTAGAGAAAACAAAGTTGCTTACCTCATAAATTCCAGAAAGGAAATGCAAGTCAAACCAAGGACTTCTTGACGAATATTAACTTTTCTTGGGAACCATCCTAAACTATCTCAGACCTGGTAATTCCTCTGATCATCAAGTACCAGTTTCATATCAAAATCCAATGTTATGTGAGTAGAAGTGAAAGTATATCAATATTATGAAAAGCTTTCCACTCCTGCCTTTTTAAAAAGTGCTTAGTCATTAGGGCTACAGGAAGCTAGCCTAAATTTAAGAAGCCCTTGGGGCATCCATTTATTCAATAGGCCAGACATCCTGCAGGCTGCATTTAAATGCAGGTTGAGTCACACAAATACTCTGCAAGTTTGCTGAGCCACAAGAAAAACAAAGCTGATCAGCTTCAATAAGTTTTGTATTTTAACTGCAAAGATTAAACCAGGGGTAGGCAACCTTGGCTCTTTTATGACTCGTGGACTTCAACTCCCAGAATTCCTGAGCCAGCTTTGCTGGCTCAGGCATTCTGGGAGCTGAAGTCCACGAGTCATAAAAGAGCCAAGGTTGCCTACCCCTGGATTAAACGCTTAGGATCCCCCAGCATTTTCTCTTGTTTTGCACTGTGCATATCGTTCACACCATATGTATGCAGAGTGAAATTATTAGACTTAAATGAGGCAGAGTGCAAAATAATCTCTCCCTCCCCTTTTTTTTTTCTGGGCCAACAAAATGAATCACATATTTTTTTTTTTTGAAAACAGGAAACAGAAACTTAACGCCAAAATAACTTTCTGGATGCACAAGCAAGATTTCAGTCTTCCTAGAAACTAGGATGAGCGACGATCTGCAGCCACTGCAATAAGGAAGGCCCGGAAAATGAGTTTCCATCCCGAATTTTCTTTCCCAGATTTTTTTTTTCCCCATAAAATGACTAACCCCTAACTGCTCCCCTTTCTCCCTTTCAGCTAGAAGCTAAAAACTTCCGTCTCCAGTGTGACTGTTGTTGTGGTGATAGCCGACAGCCAGCCCCGCTCAGTCAAGACCTCCTCCCCTGCCAACGGGAATTCCGATCTGCTGCGGCCTACGGCGAACCAGGGCTCGCTTCCTCCCCGATCGACTTCCAGCCGTTTGTTGGATTTTTCCCACAGCCTCTCGCCTCCCATCGTCCGCGGAGAGTGATGGGAATTGTAGTGTATGAAGTTAAGAGAGGCGCCCGACGAGGCGTTTCCCCCCCCCCCCGGTCCTCTGACCCAGCCGCGGCTGCTGACGGCAATCCGCACTTTTTACCTGCTCCGCCACCGCTCGGAAGAGGCACGACCCGTCCTTCGCCACTCGCTTGCGGTACAATCCCTGAGATCGCAAGTAGCCGTCCATGGCAGCCTCGGCAGGGCTCCCCACGCCGTTGCCCAGGCGGCTCTGCTCCTCCTCGCTGCCGGTCGCCTCCTCCATCATGTTTGTTTATTGCTCCTCTTAGTTAGCCCCACATGGTTGAAAAAGAAACTAGATGGGTATGTAGCACAGGGCGACCGGCCTCGAAAGCAACCCGCCGGGGAAAGCTGTCCGAAGGCGAGAGGCGGTTGCCAAGGCGGCAGCGGGAGGCGCCAGGCTCACGTTTGCAGGTCGCATGGGGGACTCTTCGAGAGAGGCGCCACTTGAACTGGTGACCGCGGGTGACTGCTTTTTCCTCGGCCTCCTCCTTTGGTCACCCGCGCTGCCTCTACTCTCCACTAAACCCAGCGCGCCTTCCTTCCCCAAACCAGCTCCCGAGGGCAGCTTTGGCGCATCGCCGAGCTTCCCACTCGGAAACGAAACATGTGGTGGGTTTCCCCTGGAACGGGCAGCCTTTAAAGTTTGTTTTCACTTTCAGAGCCAGACCGGCACTCGAAGGTGTTCTGGGAGTTGTAGTTCGACTCCAGCAGGAAGTGGCGCGGCCTGAAGGGAGGGGCGTCGATCCCGCCCACTTCTTCCCGCCTTCTCTGGCGCGCTTCCTACCGAGTGGGAAGCGGGCTGGCGGGCGGGAGCTGCTTAGTTGTTTGGTGACCTTGGCGCTTGCTATGATTACGTTAGTCTGGTTGGCCAGAAGACGGATCTAAAAAGAGCTACTTGCTTTTGTATACACCGAAGGCAGGACAAGAAGCAACGGGTGGAAACTAACCAAAGAGAGAAGCAACCTAGAACTAAGGAGAAACTTCCTGACAGTTAGAACAATTAACCAGTGAACAACCTGCCTCCAGAAGCGGTGAATGCACCAACACTGGAAGTTTTTAAGAAGAGACTGGACAGCCATTTGTCCGAAATGGTATAGGGTTTCCTGCCTGAGCAGGAGGTTGGACTAGATGACCTCCGAGGTCCCTTCCAACTTTATCATTATTACTTATTATTATTACATATCCTGCGGTTGGCTTTCCATAACATGCGCATCCAAGGGTAACTCAACTGTTCAGCTCAAAAAAAAAACCAAGGGTCTATTTCAGCGTTTCTTCACCTTGGCTGATATATGGATTTCAACTCCATGCATGTTCAAGCGACCAAGGTTGATAGACACCGATCCAGATACACAGGACACATTGAATAAAAAGACAGCTCACAACTGTCTTCGTACATTTTTTTTCTTCCATTCAGTCGTGTCTGATTTGCCTGCCTGACAAATCCCTGCAGTTTTCTTGTCAAATATAATTCAACAGTGTCCAATATTTGCTTCTACAACTAAAGAGGCTAGTAGTTAAATATTTTAAATTGTAATTTTGTCAAGGCTAGTTATTTTCTGCTCTTTAAAGCATACATCATAACTCACTTCGGGAAAATAGAAAGTGTTGGTAGGTTTGCTACCTTGAGTTGTATATGGAAAAAAGGATAAAAGCCTAATAAATACACTGTATAATGCTGTATAGTGGTTGTGGTTATGTAATTTATAGCCTAGGTAACCTTGGCTCTTTTATGACTCTGGATTTCAACTTCCAGAATTCCTGAGCCAGCATGGCTGACTCAGGAATCTTGGGAGTTGAAGTCCACGAGTCATAAAAGAGCCAAGGTTGCCTACCCCTGATCCAGGCCATGCACTTATTCTCTTGCTGATTTAAAGTGTGCCCAAGTGTGTGTAATGGGGCTTCCTTCAAAATACTTCCTATATAGAATAATACTGAAGCAAGACCAAACTGTTTAATGAGGTTTCCAATTAAGCTTATTTGGAATTGCTGTCTTTGGGAAAGATCTAGTTTCAGAATGTGCATATTGGAGAAGTGTGTCAAAGTCTTGTTGCAAGCAGTATCTAGGAATAGGACAAGTGGGATTCTGAACATATATATCCCAAAGAAACTGCACATTATTCTCAATTATGCTGCTTCAATGAGTCTATCTTGGGGAAATGTAAAGTGGACAGTGGACCAAACTTTGCTAACACTCTTGCAGTCCTGCCATAGTAAGGAATGGATGAGATACCTTAAAGCTAAACAGACCCAACATTTATTGAGTGTTGTGTAGTTGTGATGACCAAACAAAAAAGATAACAAATAGCATAAATAAATAAAATGTTAAGTGCTATAATACAAATATTTGTTCTAAAACCTCCAAGAGCCTTCCTTTAAGAACATTAACTTTTTACATCATTAAGTCAAAGTCAGAGAAGCCACATTAGGACATGTAATGTGTACCTAGTATCTACTGTACAAGTTGAAATTGCATGCAGCATCACTGTCTATCAACTGGTAGAACCTACAGTACTTAGTGTATACATATTTATTCAGGGAGTGAGTTCCTGAGATATAACAACTTATTCTTATGTAAAGATTAAAGAATGGATCCTTAGTATTGACTCCTTGGATCTGTGACCCAACTAGTATATGTATATGCCCATGTGTATATAATTTTATTTAAACTTTTAAACAAGATAAAAATACAAACTAATATAAAGTAAGGAAGAAAAAAGAAAAAAAATCAAAGAAAAAGCAAAAGGTGCAAGAAAAAAAAAGTTGGAAAAAATAGGAGAAAAAAATAAATTTTCAATATTCTTCACAGGAGTTGTAAGTATAAATATCTTTGACCTCTCTTTGTAAAGTTACATCATACTACAACTCTTTCTATAATCTATCCCATCAAAGCCATAAGTCACAAGTTCACTTTTTTCATTTTTATTCAAAAAGCCCATAACAGGATTTCAGTCACTAAATGTAGATAATGTCAACTTATCCATTTCAGCAAAACCTGTCAACTTTATCAACCATTCCTTTATCGTGGAGAATGTGCTGTAAATCCTTGCTTAGCATTTAAATCAAATATTTACTATAATATAAAAATAAATGAAGGGCTGATAAATCAAGGCCAAATCATTTATTAATTATTTCCAAAGCAATGGCATGACTTAGCTAACTTTGGCTGATCTAGAAAGCTAAATGCGGTCAATTTTAATTGGTAATTAGATGGGGAAATTGCTGAGGAATTTGCAGCCTAAACAGATTTTTTTAAAAAAAAAATCCCAGAAGAAGGAGTGGAAAACCACTTCCACATTGCACCAAGGAGACGCATTGACCTGAATATCTCTATTTAACAGTTAGGGCAGACCTGGGCATTTTACAGCCTCCAACCCACATGCCACATCTGGCCCTTTGGCTGTCCCTCTTTGCCTGTCTGAGATCAATTGGAAGTTAGAAAATAAAATTTAAATAAGCACACAGCAGGGGTCAGGACAAGAAGCCAAATGTGCTCCTTTAGTTGACTGGCAAGAGAAAGCGACTTTCTACACCTGCAGAAAAGCTGCGGCAGACTGAGGTGGAGTGAAGGGAGGCTCCACGTTCCCTCTTCCTTCAACACAGGGGGCCCAGCAGCAGAATTTAGTTCAGCCTATTGGTTTGGCTCTGCATCACAGTCCCAGTTTCTCAGAAGACTCCTTGGGAAAATTAATTGATCATCCCTGAGTTAGAGAATGACACCTGAGTACAATGATATTTCCACTTTTCTTCTCTTCATGTCTCCACTTAACAGTGGATCCTCCATCTACATCTAACTATATTGATATATTTATTTATTAAATTTTATTTATTAAATTAAATTAAATTTTATTTTATTTATTAAATTTATATACCGCCCTATCTCCCTTGCGGGACTCAGGGCGGTGAACAGGCGATACTAAAAACCACAATAATAAATAAATAATTTGTTTTAAAATCGAATTAAATCGAATTAAATAATAAAATATGTCATCTTAATGCAGATAAACCAGTCTTTTGCAATCATAGCCACAGTAAAGCCTAATTAGGGAAACTCTGTAAGAATTTCAAACTAAAATTCCAGTACTGGAATTGTATTCTGTGGGAGTACAATGCTTTATCTTCTTGATAAACTATTCAATTTGCTTCTGTTTGATTTTTTTGAAATGAACACAATCTAAAACTCTATGTTGGTTTCCACCAAGAAATCAGTGTAAGTTTCACTTCAATATTTATTTCAGTAACACTTGGTGATCAGTACTGAGTGTTCTTGATTCTAGAAGCCTCTTAGACAACTCTAAGTGCTCAATGGGACCATCACTCAGCACAGTTTAATTCAAATGTCTGTAAGCTATTTTTTAACTTCTGTATGCATTGACTTCAACTTCAGTACAGAAACCTTAATTTTAATATCGTTCCTTTTTTCTTGTGATTGATTTGTTCACCATCTGGCTTGATAAAACGTTTTGAAGAGTTGTAAATCTATCTTAGGATATTTCCAGTGGCCTAGCTCTCAAAAGTTTTTCATCCGGCTAACACAGCTGTTTTTTCCCCCTTTTCATACTGTACTATAGTTTCTCTAATACTTTATACACTCTAGATGGCACCAAAGTCCTACAGAGTAGAGCAAAAGAAAAGAAATATAGTTTAAACTCTTTAAATTTAAGAGTTCTTTAAGACAAATAATACTATGTTTTGGGTCTGTTATTTAATAAAACCTCAAATATATTGATAGTTATACAAGTAACACGAGAGACATTTATTTTGATTGCTGTTTACTTTTTATATGTACATATTTTAAAATGCTCAAACCAGAATAAAACATGCTATCATTTCATAAATGTAGACAGTATCAAAAGAGAATAACTGGTAATCATACATAAATTTTGTATGTCATCAATTTCTCAACATAGGCAACTTTAAGATATGTGGCTGGGAATTCCAGGAGTTGAAATTCACACATGTTAAAGTTGCCAAGGTTGAGAAATACTTATATAGAGCACTAAAGCAAGCAACCTTTAAAGCCAAGGTCTGCACTTCAGGGTAGGTTTTTTTTCTTTTGGCTTTTAAGAAAGTTTGTAAAGTGTTTATGTCAAAACAATTTTCAGTTTTTGTTTTCACAACTTGAAAATCACTTGTTTTGATGTCCAGTTTGATGGTTCCATCTGGTGACTACAAAACTAAATTGCCTTGAGGACAGGACTTATACTATAATTCTAGAGCCTGACTACTTGCATCTATCCCTTTCCT